CCTCTCCTTACTATCTTGAAGAAAACGCTCGAAAGAGTGAGTATTTGAAACTTTCTAAAATCTTTCTAGATTTCAGAATTTAGCTTTTGATTAGTTAGACTTGGTAGCAAATTTCATAGTTGTGAACACATTGAATTTGCGTCAACTGAATGATCTTGTTGCGTCAAAAGAACCCAACAAAGTTTTTCATAAAATTTCAACCTTTATATGCTTGTCCAGGCTTTGGAAATTAAGAATATTTGAAAATGTGAGAGGACTACTGTTCAAGGATGCTTCTTTAGATAACAAAGAAGCAGCTTCTTTCCGTTGTGTTAAAGTTAGGAGAACTGTGCTCATTGACTTTCCTTTAGATATCGTTTAATTAAACCCGGGTAGCAGTTTAACTATATGGACACAGTAGACACTTTGCAACCTCGTATTGCCTGTTCATTCTATGCCAAATGTCTAGCTGTGTCATTATTATACTATTTCTGCAATGATTTCTGTGCAGTGATTATCCTGTTTTCTCAAACTGTTTGCAGAAATATTGAATATTGAAACACAGTAAACACTTTGCAACCTCTACATTCTCTGCCAAATGTCTAGCTGTGTCATTATTATACTATTTCGGCAATGATTTCAGTGCAGTGATTGTCCTGTTTTCTCAAACTGTTTGCAGAAATATTGAATAGTGAAACACAGTAAACACTTTGCAACCTCTTATTGCCTGTACATTCTATTGCAAATGTCTAGCTGTGTCATTATTATAATATTTCTGCAATGATTTCAGTGCAGTGATTGTCCTGTTTCTCAAACTGTTTGCAGAAATATTGAATAGTGAAACACAGTAAACACTTTGCAACCCTTATTGCCTGTACATTCTATTGCAAATGTCTAGCTGTGTCATTATTATAATATTTCTGCAATGATTTGTGCAGTGCTTGTTTCTGTTTCTCAAAACTGTTTGCAGAAATATTGTATATTGAAACACAGTAAACACTTTGCAACCTCTTATTGCCTGTACATTCTATGCCAAATGTCTAGCTGTGTCATTATTATAATATTTCTGCAATGATTTCAGTGCAGT